CAATGCTTTGCATCCTCTGCTCTGCATCATTCGACTGAAATGATTTTGTTCGATTAGGGCTCAAGCTACGAGGTGAAAACTGAACGCGACTCACATTTGGTGGATTTAACGCTAAATATGACTTACACATGGAGACTGGGGTTCCTTAAAAAGTAACTTTGTGCACTTGCTTACTACCATTTTTAGTGCGTAACCCCAGCATTTGAATATTTGCGCCACACATACGGGCATTTTCGACTGCCTCTTCTTATGTATTAGGTCTCATGCACATCACCTTTTCCACTAAATATTGCACATGTAAGACCCCATTCCCATATATTTTATATCGATCTATCCCTGTGGGGAGTCTCACTAGATTACTGTCAGCTTAGTCGGCTTAAGCGTCTGTCCCGCCTACTAAAAGCTGTAAGGGGGTAAGTAACTATGCTGCGCGCTCGGCTGACTGCAATTTAGCGTGAACCCCCAGGGAGTTAGGTCGATCTAAATCTAAATCGCTGGATCGATCTAAATCTCTGGGAATGTACCCTTAGTTCACGGTAAAAAGGTCCAATTTTTCGGAAAAAAGAACCCCCCTTTGAAACTGCTGGCTACGGGCCTGCTCTCTCTCTCTCTCTCTCTCTCTCTCTCTCTCTCATTTTACCCTCTTTGTAATATTTATAGTCTTTTTAACACGACCAGTGTTGAAAAAGGTAAGCTTGCTAAACAATCTCTAAAATTTGAAATTGATTACTGCAATCACTTCCCTTAATCATTGTTAAATAGTACTCTCTGACCACAGGGTGCACTAGTCAGTTACAAAACTGTTAAAAATGCAAAGTGTGATTTTGTACGTATTCAAGTGGGGCCCAGATATCAGAAGGCAGTTAAATAGTGCTGGGAAAGTCATTGATGATTCAACCGTAGAGGGTGCAAGCGAGGAGCTATAAAACCTTTATTTATTGTAGCTCATAGCCCGCGAGGAAAAGCGATCGTTTTGCACCTATTTTAAGGTCAGCAGAGTCCAAGATTATGAACAAATGTCAGGGTTAGGGTACTTTTCGAGTGAATAATAACATTTTATCTACATCTTGGCAACCGTATGTCAGTAAAACATGTTTAATATATCAATTCCTTCTAAATGAGAAATCAACAATATCAATTGCAACTAATATTAAAGTCACCAGAGGGCCCTTTAAATTATTTCATTGTATGTTATTTTTGCTTATTATATTTTCTTCCAATTCTAAATGCTCCCTCTCCCTCTTTTTCTTGTGATATCACAAAGGAGGGAAAATAAAGCACTCATCAAAATTTTAAATGTAAAAAAATGTACGAGACATTAATCTGCCCAGTGTACATTTCTATCAATCTAGAATTAAAAGTTAAAAAAGGCCTATCTTCACTCATCAACGCATTAAATGTAAAAATACAGGAGAGATTTATCTACCCAGTATTATTTTTTTTTCGTATTGCGCACCGTCAATCTCTCTCTCTCTCTCTCTCTCTCTCTCTGGTATTTTTTTACTTTCTCTTTAGAATATTTACAGTATTTTGTGAACACGACCAGTGTTAAAAAAAGGCTTAATCTCTTTCTCAATCGCTTTCCTTAAGCATGATTAAATAGTACCCTCTGACCACAGGTTGCGTTAGTCAGTTACAAAACTGTTAAAAAAGCAAAGTGTGATTTCTACGTATTCAAGTGGGGCCCAGATATCAGAAGGCAGTTAAATAGTGCTGGGAAAGTCATTGGTGTTTCATCCGTAGAGGGTGCAAGCGAGGAGCTATAAACCCTTTGTTCATTGTAGCTCATAGCCCGCGAGTTCAAGCGATTGTTTTAAAGACTAACACCCCATTTCCATAGATTAGATCGACCTACTTTAGATCGACCTAACTCCCTGGGGGTTCACGCTAAATAGCTGTCAGCCGGGTGGACACGAAAGTTAATTACCCTCTTACAGCTTGTAGTAGGCGGGACGGACATTTAAGTCGGATTATCTGAAAGTAATCTAGTGAGACTCCCCGCGGGGATAGATCGATCTAAAATCTATGGGAATAGGGCCTAAGCGACACCTCGTCCTGTCAACTGACAAAAGGTTCAAAGTACAAATATACACAATTATTATCCTTAATTACCATGGGCCAGAGCAATACAATAACAGGTCGGCTTTCGAAGATCGACTTGATTTACACAAATTCGCTGCGATACAATCAAGTGTTACTCCCACCATGGGTCATTTAAATTATCTGTTGTATACTCTTTTTGCTTATTACATTTTCTTCCTCTTCCGAATACTCTCTCTCTCCCTCTCTTTCTTGTAATATCACACAGGAGGGAAATAAATAAAGCACTCAACTCAATAAACTGAGGTCGGCATCACCGACCTTTAGCAGAGGAATGAGATTTACTGAACCAGATCGATCACGTTGTTACTGCATAAGTCCATCTACTAGAATATTTTACTTACGTTCTTGCAATGCATTGTATAAATGCACTTAAAATGACAAAGACAAACGCCTAGCCCAATAACACCTGGCGGATAAATAATTGAAGATGTGTCTCATAAAACAAGGTTGATCATCTATGTAAATATGTAGTTTGTCGTTAAAATAGTGAAAAATTGAATCTATTATAAATGAGCTCTACTCAACAGTTATCTGGAAAAGACGAAGCCCAGGACAGGGGAACTTTATGACCAATATTCAGTTTAGTTCTTGGGTTACGGAGAACAAGGGCAAGTTCATGGAGTATATGATACCTAATACACTATAATTATGGTAATTAAGGTGAGGCCTATGTTTTTTATCCCTATATAAGTTCTTTGTCGCCGGCTTAACGTTAAAATTTCCTAAATAGGCCCAAACATTACGGAGGATGGTGGAGATGTCCAAACAAATGTGGAGTTTGCAAGGAGTTCACAAATGAGACGCCATTTTTGATAATAATAATAATAATAATAATAATAATAATAATAATAATAATAATAATTATTATTATTATTATTATTATTATTATTATTATTATAAGCGTGTGAGGCAAATATGACGCAAAAGCGACGCAAGAGTGGCATACTTTCGCCGTACGTTGCATTCTCTTCATAAGTGCCACATACGCAGGTACATGTAGCATGACAAACTTAAAGGGATAACAGCTGTACGTAAGTTATCCATATGTCACAATAAATGCATTGTAAACAGCTCTTAAAAATAATTAAGTCCATTTTATCACCAAAAATGGTGGTTAACGCAATTATTCTGGATTTTGTGCTTGCCATCACTTCATGTGACCTCCATTGACGGCTACAATCAGCAATAATCTCTAAGAGAATATCACAAAAGAAAAGCAAACTTTTTTAGAAAAAAAATCAGGGACTAACTTTGAATGTGGAAATGGATTCGTTAACCATTGGAAAGTATGAGAAAATTGTCCCTTACCCCAGGAAAATCCATTTTTTGGCCAAAATGAACAGTTGTTAGCCCTTTAAGAAAGGAGTACAATTTCCACGGCAATCGCACCTTGCAATTAACATCCCTGCTTGAAAGGACATCTCGCATGGAGCGTGCAACTCACAAACCAGACTTTTGCAACCTTTCCTGTACCTCTCCGAACTCCACGGCCTCCACTGCACCCAAAATTGGCAGGGCACGTACTGAAATCCGGTGACCGAGGCTTTATTACTGACCGTGTTGACTCCACGCACAGACGCGTCATGCGTGTCCCCCAGTCCAGAGGATACTGTGCAAAACACAAAATTGGATTTTACTACTGTTAGCTTGCTCATTTGCTGTATACTTATTTATAATTTTTATTTATTTATTTAATTTATTCATTGTTTGAAATAAATTATTTTGGTAGTTGGCTCAAAACATTTGATCATGACTTTCATGATTTTCTGTTTCATTTTACCCTTGCAATGGGGGTGACACCTGTTTCTTAGAGGAGTTCAATGGCGGATTTAGGGGGGGGGGGTCAGGGGGTGCCACCCTTCCAAGCACACCAGCGGTCCCCTCTTGAAATTATAATTTTGACTAGCTGTATCATAGTTCTAAACCGTACCAAATGGAACCATTCGCCCTTTAAAATACACAAGTTTTCTGGGTTCTTCATAGCGTCCAGACATGACCTTGGCAGGGGCGGATCCAGGATTATTTGAAGGGAGGAATAAGGGGTCGGCAGATGCGAAGCCAACAATCACCCCTCCCCATGCAGGCCCGTAGCCAACAATTTTAGAGGGGGGGGGGGTTCGAGGACCTGAAAAAGTGGACCTTTTACCCTAAAATCCTCAAGTACATAGTTCAAATTGTACCCAGAGTGGACCTTTTCCCAGCAAAAAGGGTGGTTCTTTCGAACCCCCCGAACCCCCCCGGCCCTGGCTACGGGCTTGCCATGGCGTGGGGTTTGGGTCTGCTGCGGGGCCCCGAAAATTTTGGAGCAATTATTATTTCTGCTTTTAATGAACGTTGCCCTACCTGCTGTATGTGGCCAGAAAATTGAGTCTTATTGCAGATAATGCAAAGAAATCTTTGGCGACTATTTTCACCCTCGCCGCTTTGTGATTATAGGCCTATTGTGATTATATTTATATTATATTGAACTTTTCAAAAATGTTCATCAGATAGCATATTATTATATAACAGTGATTCTTCTTCTTCTTCTTCTTCTTCTTCTTCTTCTTATTATTATATAATTGATTTTATTTGAAAAAAAAAAATAGATGATTGAAAAAACCCTAATTTCGTCACGGCCTCAGTATCAAAATGTAAACTGTAGTAACAGTGCAAAGTCATATTAAGTTAGCAAAATCCGTGCTAACTCTCGTGTTCATACCCGCAGATCCTGTACAATTTTATCTTCAGCATTTTCTTAAATTGTGGTCCTCCTGGGTGGATTTTCATTGCTACGGTGATAAACACCACATCCATCTCAAGGCATTTCCCGAGCAAATTGCAGCAGGTGCGATATTCGAAACTATCGTTTTAATTTTACGCTACAAAATCATTCGAAACTAAATCGTTCAGCTAGCTTTACGACATCGGCGGCAACAATAAACGACGTGAAGGACGGACGCAATACGTGATGGATTAACAGCACAAAATGCCCAGAAAACGACTATTTTAGGTGACCAACTATGGCCACTGTTAATACACTGGTGCTACTGTGTCTTCTGGTGACTCAAGGAGGCACAGAAACCACGGAAAACCAAGGTAAGTGATGTAGGCCGTGGATCGAGCCGTTTAATCCTCGTTGTAGTTGTCCCTGTATCATCCTGGCTAAGACACCTGTGTTTCCACAACACCTGTCCCTGAGTCCTGGACTTGGCGCGTTTATCTCCCGGGAAAATGTGGGTTAGAGCTTGATATAACTGGTGTGTAGGTTACGCTGTGAAGGGTTAATTCCCTCTTATGGTTGTGATTGATCGGGTTTAAATCATAATTAATATTAATTAAAAATTTAAAAATGATAGTTTAAATAAGACTCTACGTTATTTTGATTGTCTAGTGGATCTAAAAGCCACATAAAATCTTTTAGAATACCAGCCTAGTCTACCATAATGCAATGATTATAGTGATACTAATAAACAAATGAATAAATTAAAAAGTAATAGTCATATGGACATAAATCTATTTTTGACTGCACAAGTACTAACTTGTAGTGCCAGGGGCAGGTAGAACCGGCCGGATAGCTTAGTAGGTAAGAGCACTCGCCCTGTAAGCGAGGGGTCCCGGGTTCGATTCCTGGTCTGGTCGGTGATTTTTCTGCACTCACCCCAAATCGCTACAAACTGAATCTTATACTTCAATACTAGTACATACTCCTACAATGGAGTACATTCAGTTAATAGTTTTGATGGCTTTTGCATTTCTTCTACATGAGTTTGCTCATCTCATATAATGCTTTGGAAGCCATTTTTGTGCTAGTATTTTAATTATCCATCAATGTCATCATATTATTCTAAGTTTTCTTCTCTTAGTAATTAATAGGAGTGGGTAGGGTGGCAGGCACACAAGTTTTGATAAAGTGGTATACTAGACAAAGACAGTTTTACTGAACGTACTCATAATTTATGGAAGGCAAAAAAGTGAATGCAGTGCATTCTGTGGTCCTGTCTTATATTGCTTGTTTTACTCGTTTTAAAGCTTTTAGCTGCGTAATATTTGTTGTGGTAATTAACTGAGCAGAGAGGAAAACAAATTAAGTGACATTTATATGATGTCACTCAACGTGCTAGTACCACTTAGCATTATGTTTTTAAGAACAAGTTACAAGTACAGTACTAGGACCAATTAATTTGGAACAGGCTGTGATTTTTTCAAGTAATTAATTGCATCTCTCTCTCTCTCTGTCTCTCAAACACATTTAATTAAATGTTTTGCTTCCCTGTATATATAAATACATGTAAATATAAAACAACAGTTTTTAATTATGAAGGCTTAACCGGATTATCAAGATTTTTAACCTTCCTTTCCAGCCTATGTGAAGTAAACTTGTTTGCAGCTGCTCATGCAGTGTCTTATTTGATGCTGTTATATTAATCAGTAAATCAAGACTAAGAGAGCCTAACACCTTTTTTTAACAAGCATGTCCTGTGACACTTGCTTGTGACATCATTTACAATAACTTGCTTTAGTCAATCAACAGCTTAGTCACTTAAAACTGAAAAGAGTGCTCCTGTGCGTAGACATAACTGTCTGACTGGTGATTTGGCATACATTTAAAGCTCATCAAAGCTGAAATATAGTAAATAACGTATATTTTGGTACTCTATCTGTAGAGAATCTTCCATAAATTCATACTTGGAGGAGATATTTAGAAATGTTTCTTTCGACTATCCCTCAAATTTTACAATTTCTGTGTAAAAAAAAAAAAAAAAAAAGTCATGAAAGGAGAGAGCCTGTATTGTGAGAGTTTAAGCCAGGATACAACATATCATTGAATGATAGTTTAATGTGAACTAACCCATAGGCCTTTCTACTACTTGTCGAGTAACATAACCAACAAGAGTTTATAATATAGAAAAATGGGCACCCCCTTCTGGGCACGACGCTGCATGGCTGATAGCTTTGTGTGCTGTTTGTGTGTTCTTGTAAAATAACAAGAGGGTTCGGCAAATATGTTTTCTTACCAATCAATGCAGGTTTGCAGCCTTTGTGTGGAGAGTGCGTTGAGGTTTTGTGTTTTTTCCTCTGCTGTTTGTTGGTAATAATACGTCTTCTCAGCTCGCACTGCGAGAGTTCTCTATAATGATTGAAAGTCCTTGTAGCACCTAGCTTGCTGGCTTTGTGTAGGATTGTTTTGTGGTTGCTGAACTTGTGTTAAGCATGGGAAATATGTTGCTGGTGGCTAAAAGTTATAACTTCTCTTCTTAGGACACTGTCTGTAGGAAAGGAAACTTCTTATATGTGTCAATCCATAGAACTACTAGTAAGATAGATTTTGAGCCTGAATAGAAGAGTTTAAACAAGTTTTCTTCTCTCATTAAGATCTTTCACACAGTGTTCACCCTCCTTTTTTTTGGTCATTTTTATTTCCATCAGTTTCGTTTCAGAGTATGAATGTGATGGAATTATTTTCCTTGAATCAATATTATCTTCCTGTGGTTTGAAAACATGCATGTAGGTTTCAAGATGGAGACACTTTCATGGTAAAACTGAACTGAGTGAAGAATGAAATCTCTTTACTGTCTTTAAAAAAAATCACATTTCCTTTTTTAAGAAAAGAAAAAGCAATTAAAACCAAGAGAGACAAAGTCTGTAATAAACTTTTAGCCCTGAAGTCATGAACAGCTGTATTTAATTCAAAACTGCAGATATAATTGGTGGCAAATTACCCCCACAAGTCATTTATACACACGCTGACTGCAGTATAGAGCTGAGAGTTTACCCAAGTGGAACTTGTGCATATTTTGAAATAGATTTGAAATTGGTGTCAGTTAAAGGTGACTACTCTGACACTGAAATATTGAGACCTGTTCGTAAAGGGACTGGTTTTAACTGAAGGAGATATTTATAAGAAACTGATGTTGCACCTGGGCTTTTTTGTACTTAAACTAATTACTTATTAATTACACATCACTAAACTGCCTTTCTCTGTCTTTGCAGTCTACTTCTGCTATTAGTGTAACTGTTATATGAAGTTATTAAACCAACTTATTCAACTTTCCATGGTAGATGTAACGTAAACTGCCAGTCTACCTTTTAGTCTAACCTGTTTTTAACTGTAGTGGGTATGTGCACCCCTCTGATGGAAGTAATAAATGAGTTTAGATCTTAAAATGTATCCTCCGTGCCTAGTTCCTTGTCAACTAGGGGAACCAGATGGTACATTTAATTAACTCCACACATAACTCAGTCATCTTTGACTTCTCACTTACAGGAACCTCGTTCCATTTAATCTGACATTGAGCAATTAAAGGTTACAGCATTGAGCAAATTGGCCATTAGTGGAAAACTGGAAACATCAAGATCAGCTGAAGATGTATAAGAAATAGGCATGAACCGGGCACTTATTTTCAAAAAAAAAAAATACATGATGATCTTATTTTTCCGTCCAAAGCAAAATGGCTCTGCATCAAATTCTTTGTACAGATTTATATTCAGATATTGTGATTAATTTCATCATTTTGATCCTTCTATAGAAATCCTAAAGGTTACGTCCAATATCCCAGACTATTAAAATATCAGTGAGCATCGTCTTACCATGATTGGTTCTGTTAGACTGATACGTCTCTTGCCTCACTGAGCTCAGAGACGTTCAAATTCAATCTTTTCTGTCGGCTGCCTGGCAGTCTATTTACAGTAGCGCGTTATCAGAGAGATTGGAGAATTACTGGGATCATCAGCGCCACTAAAAGGCCATGTTGATTACGGTCCCAATGGTATTTCACGGGTAGAATTGACTTTTAATTCACTGTGCGAGATTCTTGTGAATGTTCGCTGTTGAAAGTATTGAAGAAAGGGATGTACAGATTGAATAAAAAAAGAAGGCAGATCTTTGAAATATTTTTAGACTTGGAAAAGATACTGATATATAACTGGCAAAGCAGATACTTGTTAATTTATATTAAAAAAAAAGGAAAAAAAAAAAAACTAAAAAGATAAAGCACAGGCTGTAAGATGAAATGAGCACTAAACTCACAGTGTATGATTTTGTAGTACTAGTAATATATATATTTTTTATTTATAAAATAAATGTAGAAGTATTTCATTTGAATTAATATTTAGAAAAAGAAGTTCAGAATGCACCAGTTATGATATATGACAAATGAAGCTGTTAAAAAAATTAACCATTGTTTGCATTACAGTATACACCAGTAAACAAGTTATACTCATTAAAGAAAACTGTTAATTATCTAAGATAAGTAATTAAAGTGACTCTAAAGACCACAGCCAAAATAGATTGATTGCATTAAATTTATCATAAGTCAGTTAATCAAAGCTCTGAATCCTGCAGAGTTCCTGATATTTGATGATAATCATCTACATTGTCACTGGCCAGGGCTGGGTGTGAAGTTCTCAAGTAAATTGCATTAACATTAATTGGTGACTCAGCTGCAGGGATGGTTACTGGACAGATCTATGACTTATTAGAAATTTATATCTGATTTAAGGAGGATTGTTTTAACATTGAGTATAAGAGAGAGAGAGAGAGAGAGAGATAGCAGACCCGTAGCCGGGGGGGGGGGGGGGGGCGGGGGGTTTCGAAAGAACTGCTCCTTTTGCTGTGAAAAGGCCCACTCTGGGTAAAATTTGATCTAGGTACATGAAGTTTTTATGGGAAAAGGTCCACTTTTCAGAAAAAGAACCCCTCTTTTGAAATTGCTGGCTACAGGCCTGGATAGGGAGATGAGGAGAGAAAGATTGAGTGAAAAGAGAGAGATAAAAAGAGAGAGAGGGAAGAAGGAGAGAGAAAATAAGGGAATAGCGAGAAAAAAAGTGAGAGAAGGGTGGTTAAGAGAGGGATATGCTGGGGGTGTAGAGAAGAGAGGCAATAAAGAAGTTGGAAGTTACTGCATCTATCATTTCACATTGAATAACATTTCACAGTATTGACCATGACAATCAAACATAAACTTGTGTACAGCATGTTGGTAAACAGATCACACCATTTGAAAATAAGTCTTAATTATTCACCAGCTGTTTGATAATTCAAGGAGGCATGAACAAAATCACCTTCACCGTTATCATCCAAAATTAAAAGCAATCAG